ATTTGGGAGGCAGAGGGAAGTCGGGATGGGATGGAACAGAGGACTATCCTGGTCCCCTGGCCTTTGGCCCCTCTGAGATAAGCCCTTTCTCCTTCCCCCACCCCTTCAGTATTCGTTCCAAGATGAGCAAGACAAGCCTCTGCCTGTCCCCAGCAACCAGTGCTGTAAGTACCTCTTGATTCTTCCTTGGGCATCAGCTGAAACACTCATCCCTCCCCTACCCCATGACTGTCCTGTCTAAAGGCTCCTCCAGTCTGGAGATACAAGTCCTGAGAGTGCAGTGTCCACTTACAGTATATTAGAAATTAGCGTTCTGAGGCTAGGCATGGTGGCTCACCCCTGTAATCCCAGCACTTTGGGAGGCCGAGGTCAGGAGTTCGAGACCAGCCTGGCCAACAGGGCACAACCCCATCTCTACTAAAAATACAAAAAAATTGAACAGGCATGGTGGTAGGTGCCTGTAATCCCAGTTACTCAGGAGGCTGGGGCAGGAGAATTGCTAAAACCCAGAAGGCAGAATCTGCAGTGGGCCAAGGTCATGCCACTGCACTCCAGTCTGGGTGACAGAGCGAGACTCTGACTCATAAAAAGAAGGAAGGAAAGAGAAAGAGAAAGAAAGAGAGAAAGAGAAAGAAAAGAAAGGAAGGAAGGAAGGAAGAAAGGAAGGAAAGAAGGGAGAGTTCTGAGACTTGGGCTTGATTCCCACCTTGCTATGTGGTCATGGGCAGGCCAGCGTCCCTCTTCTATATTTAGGGGCCCTCTCTTTGAAATAGTGCCATCTGACAGCCCCCTCCCTCTAAGGGCTGTTGGAAGGATCCAGGACATCTAGAGATATGAAAAACATTTCGTAGATGCTTCACTTTCCATTCATCAGATCCTGGATGAGGGCGTATAACTCATTCCACAAACTATTCACGGGGCCAGCACAAACCCCGAGCAGCCTACAGTCAGATGGCGCAGACAGACACAGACAGAAGATCCTGCCAGCACATGTACAATGGGCACACGTACAACAGATGAAGGCTGTTTCACTAACCCATTTTCTTAGATGGAGAAACTGAGGCCCAAGAGGAGATGTGATTTACCTAAGGCCACACACCCGGCAAGTGGCAGAGCCAGGATTTGAAACCAGGTCTGAGGGACTCCAACTTTGCTTCCCTTTCCACTGCACCTTGTCTGTTGATGATGATGATCACGTTTCTCTTCCTATTTCCATCAAGGCTGCAGTTGTCAAGATTTTTTTAATCTTCCTGGGCCCTGTCGACACTCAGATGCATCCAGACAAGGTCTTTTCATGGATGGAAGAGCTGTCTCCCTCCTTAAAATGACTTCCCATTGCTTTGTGGTGGAGGAGAAGTAGCAAATCATATAGCCTCAGGACAGAGCTCCCACCTGCTGACACCAAAACCCCACTTCACTCTTCAGCCAACTCCTTCTCCTTTCCATTTACTTTCTTTTCTTCTTCTTCATCTTCTTTTTTTTTTTTTTTTAGATAGAGTCTCCCTCTGTCACCCAGACTGGAGTGCAATGGTACGATCTCGGCTCACTGCAGCCTCTGCCTCCTGGGTTTGGGCGATTCTTGTGACTCAGCCTCTTGAGTAGTGGGGATTACAGGCACATGCCGTCACGCCGAGCTAATTTTTGTATTTTTAGTAGAGATGGGGTTTCACCATGTTGGCCAGGCTGGTCTCAAATTTTTTACCTCATGTGATCCACCCACCTCAGCTTCCCAAAGTTGGGATTACAGGTGTGAGCCACCGTGCCTAACCCCTTTCCATTTGCTTTTCCATCTTCCTTTTTTCCCCTCTCACAGCTTTCCCTGTATCTGTGTCTCCCCCACCATGTGTCCAGGAGGGTGGTAACGGAGGTGGGGTTGAGGGGGGCTTGGGGAACTCCAGCTGGAGTATCCTGTTTCTACACTAACTTGGGGTGTGATATTGAGAAAGTTCCTTGGCTTCCCTGGCCAGGGAGGAGTCATCACTGCCCGGAAGGAATTACAAACCCCCTCTGGGTGAATGGGGTCATTGAGAGGTTGCAATGGGGGTGGGGCCAGGCAGAGTGGAAGTGGGAAGGCAATGGCAGAGAGTCCCTGGGCAGATGGACTAGAGCCAGGGGCAAGTTCGATTTGGGAAGTAGAGACCACCACTCAGTATTTACCCACAAGTCCTCCCTGGGCGTATTTTGTCACCCCCATTTCCCAGAGGAAGCAGTCAATGGTCAGAGGAGCCAGGATTCTGGTCCAGGACATTTTTCTGAAGTGCCAGGTACTGCACATGATAGGCAAAGGGGTTCTCGCCCTGGCCCTGATGCTCAGAGGCTGTGTGACTTTTGGCTGCTCACTGCATCTCTCTGAGCCTCATAGTTTCACCCGTAAAATGAGCAGACCACCCAACAGAGGTGTTTCAAACCTTAGGGTTTCCAATTTAGTGTGTCTTTCCTTATCCAAGAGCTGGGAGAGGAAAAGGGTGGAGACTGGGAGACTGTTAACCCCAGACTTCATAGTCAGAAAACCCTGGGCCCAGATACCCACTTTGTTACTTCCTGACTGAGCCTTTCCTCTCATTGAAAACTGAGCCAGGCACAGTGACTCATGCCTGTAAATTGCAGCTACTCAGCCTCACATGAGACCAGGTGTTTGAGATCACCCTGGCCAACATAGCAAGACTCCATCTCTACACAAAAAAAACAAAAAGAAAAACCATCAAGAACCAAAACATTAGCTGAACGTGGTGGTGGGTGCCTGTAATCCCAGCTACTCGGGAGGCTGAGGTGGGAGGATCACTTGAGCTTGGGAATTAGAGGCTGCAGTGAGCCATGATTGCACCACTCCACTCCAGGCTGGATGAGAGTGAGACCCTGTTTCAAAAAACAAAAAAAATTAAAGAAAAGAAAAAAATAAACAAACAGGGATATCCCACCTTCCTCCCAAGGTGGAGAGCAGAGACACAGCAAGTGTCAGCAATGAAAGTGATACTTAGGAAAGGTACTCAGGACAAGAGGGGCTCTTGGGGTGGGGGGAGCAGATGCGGAGAGTGAGGAGGACCGCAGGGGAGCCCGCTTCCTACACCCACCCCTTTGTCTGCTCCCTTTTATTATTTCTGCCCCTTCTCTTTGTAGGCAACTGGAATTATTTTGGCTGGGGTGAGCAGCACAGTAAGTACTCAGCCTGATTGATGTTCTGGGAGGCCCATGGGAAGGTGGGCACCTTGGTGATCCCAAGGCCCCTCCCCACTATCACACAGGGAAGCAGGGAGCCTGTGACCAGCACATGGGGGCCAGAGGGCTTGGCGAGACCCCTTTCAAGCTTTCCTGTACCCTGTTTGTTAGTGCCTGTCTTGGGAGGCCCGCTGTCTGCTGGGGAGTGGGCACCATCGTTGGGGTGGGGGGGTTCAGCCTGGAGGAGTGGACATTTAGACCGACAACCTGCCTGTGTCCAGCTGGGTGCTGTGGCCTCCTCCCGCCACTCCCCCTGTATAACCTCACCTCCTCTCCTGTATCTCCTGCCTTTTGGTCTTCCTATCTTCCTTCTCCGCTTGGAAATGGGTCCAGTGTCACTCAGAGGGTAGTGGGTGGCCGGGGTCTCCAACAGAGGGGTGGGCCGGGAACCTCAGGGAGATGCACGCGGAGACCTCACCAACCCCCTAGGCTCCGCCCATACTCACACCTTGCCTTCCATCTTCATTTGCTGTCTCAGGGAAGAAGGCAAGCCACGCCCTCCCTAAATTTAATGTCCATTTTTCTTTTTCTTTTTCTTTTTCTTTTTCTTTTTTTTTAATTGAGATGGAGTCTCACTCTGTCACCCAGCCTGGAGGGCAGTGGCACGATCTCGGCTCACTGCAAGCTCCGCCTCCCGGGTTCACGCCATTCTCCTGCCTCAGCCTCCCAAGTAGCTGGGACTACAGGCGCCCGCCACCTCGCCCGTCTAGTTTTTTTTTTTGTATTTTTTAGTAGAGATGGGGTTTCCCCGGGTTAGCCAGGATGGTCTCGATCTCCTGACCTCGTGATCTGCCCATCTCGGCCTCCCAAAGTGCTAGGATTACAGGTTTGAGCCACCGCTCCTGGCCAATTTTTTGTATTTTTAATAGCGATGGGGTTTCACCATGTTGGCCAGGCTGGTTGTGAACTCTTGACTTCAGGTGATCCACCCACCTTGGCCTCCCAAAGGGCTGGGATTACAAGTTTGAGCCACTGCGCCCGGCCTCCTGTGAGAATCTAATGTCACCACTGATCTGACAGGAGGCGGAACTCAGGCGGTAATGTGAGTGATGGGTAGCAACTATAAATACAGATGAAACTTCACTCACTCACCCAACCGCCACCCACCTCCTGCTGTGCAGCCCAGCTCTTAACAGGCCACAGACCAGACCCGTGCCCTAAGGAGTTGCTCCCTTTCTCCCATACCCTGCCTCTTCTAGAGAGACCCAGTCCTCTATTCTCTTTTTTTTTTTTTTTTTTTTTGAGATGGAGTCTCGCTCTGTCACCCAGACTGGAGTACAGTGGTGCGATCTCTGCTCACTGCAACCTCCACCTCCCGGGTTCAAGCGATTCTCCTGCCTCAGCCTCCTGAGTAGCTGGGATTACAGGTACATGCCACTATGCCTGGCTAATTTTTGTATTTTTAGTAGAGACGGGGTTTCACCATGTTGGCCAGGCTGGTCTTGAACTCGTGACCTCAAGCAATCCTCCTGTCTCGGCCTCCCAAAGTGCTGGGATTACAGGTGTGAGTTACCATGCCTGGCCAGTCTTCTATTCTGAGGATAAATCTGCCTCCTTCTCTCTTCTCCACCAACTGGGAAGTCCTTCACTCCTTCCTTATATCCTGGTGGACAAACCTATCTCCAGGACCAGTGAAACTGTTGACAAACACTTTGGTCCACC